TTGTTGGACTTCTGTGCTAGTCACAGTTTGTCCATCACGAACACCATGTTCGAGCACAAGGGTGTCCACCAGTGCACGTGGCACCAGGACACCCTAGGCCGGAGGTCGATGATCGACTTTGTTGTTGTATCATCTGACCTTCGACCGCGTGTCTCGGACACTCGGGTGAAGAGAGGGGCGGAGCTGTCAACCGATCACCACCTGGTTGTGAGTTGGATCCGCTGGCAGGGGAAGAAGCCGGCTAGACCTGGCAGACCCAAGCGTGTAGTGAGGGTCTGCTGGGAACGTCTCGCTGAGCCCCCTGTCAGACGGATTTTCAACTCACACCTCCGGGAGAGCTTCTCCCAGGTCCCGGCAGAGGAGGGGGACATTGAGTCTGAGTGGACCATGTTCTCTTCCTCTATTGCCGATGCGGCGGCTCGTAGCTGTGGTCGCAAGGTCTCTGGTGCTGGTCCCGGTGGCAACCCCCGAACCCGGTGGTGGACACCGGCAGTAAGGGATGCTGTCAGGCTGAAGAAGGAGTCCTATCGAGCCATGATGGTTCGGGGAACTCCTGAGGCAGCTGTCCAGTACCGGCAGGCCAAGCGTGCCGCGGCCCGGGTTGTTGCAGAGGCAAAAACCCGGGTCTAGGAGGAGTTTGCAGACTCCATGGAGCAGGACTATCGGTCGGCCTCGAAGAGATTCTGGCAAACCGTCCGGCGCCTCAAGAGGGGGAAGCAGTGCTTTGCCAACACCGTGTACGGTGCGGGCGGAGAGCTGCTGACCTCGACTGGGGATATTGTCGGGCGGTGGAAGGAATACTTGGAGGTTCTCCTCAACCCCCCCGTCACGTCCTCCGTCCCGGAGGCAGAGGCTGAAGATGTTGGGGCGGATACTTCCATCTCCCTGGCGGAGGTCACCAAGGTGGTTGGCAGCCTCCTTGGTGGCAAGGCGCCGGGAGTGGATGAGATCCGTCCTGACTATCTAAAGTCTCTGGATGTTGTAGGACTGTCTTGGCTGACACGTCTCTGCAACATCGCGTGGCGATCGGGGGCGGTGCCAATGGAGTGGCAGACCGGGTTGGTGGTCCCTCTCTATAAGAAGGGGGACCGGAGGGTGTGTTCCAATTATCGTGGGATCACACTCCTCAGCCTCCCTGGTAAGGTTTACTCCAAGGTACTGGAGAGGAGGCTACGGCCGATGGTCGAATCTCGGATTCAGGAGGAGCAGTGTGGTTTTCGTCCCGGCCGCGGAACACTGGACCAGCTCTATACTCTCCATCGGATACTCGAGGGCTCATGGGAGTTCGCCCAACATGTCCACATGTGCTTTGTGGATTTGGAGAAGGCGTTCGACCGCGTTCCCCGGGGTGTTCTTTGGGGGGTTCTCAGGGAGTACGGGGTCCGGGGTCCTCTGCTGAGGGCTGTTCGGTCCCTATATGACCGGAGCCAGGACTGTGTTCGCATTGCCGGCAGTAAGTCAGACCTGTTCCCGGTGCATGTTGGCCTCCGCCAGGGCTGCCCTTTGTCACCGGTTCTGTTCACTGTATTCATGGAAGGAATTTCTAGGCGCAGCCAGGCACCGGAGGGGGTCCGGTTCGGGGACCACAGGATTTCATCTCTGCTGTTTGCGGACGATGTTGTCCTGTTGGCTCCAACGAACCAGTTCACCTTGGAGAGACCCATGAGGAAAACGCATTAGACTTATTGATTTAAGCATGTTTATTGATTGAGCATGTTTGGCGCCCTAGGCCCGGGCGGGATGCTGTTGAGCACGGCGCTTGCTCGCGTGCATGATCCCCCCGGGGCCTAGGCACTGGTGACGGCAGAGGCAGTAGGCAAGCACGCTTCATGCGAGAAGGAGGAGGTGGGGCGGCGGCGGCTTGCAGACTTCAGAAGATCGGGAAGTGGGCGTCTCCGGCTTTTAACTTGCTGTCCTGGTGGTTATTGGTTGACTGGGTGTGGGCGTTGCTGGTATTGATGAGTCGAGGAAGAGCAGCCTGTGGCCTGGCAGCAACAGCCGGGTCTACCACGGTGAACTTTCGCGAAAAGCTCCATTTCACCTTGGAGAGACCCATGAGGAAAACGCATTAGACTTATTGATTTAAGCATGTTTATTGATTGAGCATGTTTGGCGCCCTAGGCCCGGGCGGGATGCTGTTGAGCACGGCGCTTGCTCGCGTGCATGATCCCCAAAAAGCGGGCCTGCGATTGGGATAGCAGGACGCACTGCGCGGGCCTGAGAGCATGAGCGAGCTGAGAACATGCGCGCATGCGCATGTTCAGCCAGCCGCTCTAGCAGAGGAATCTTTGAGCGACTGAGAACATGCGCGCACGCGCATGCTCAGCCAGCCGCAGCAGAGGAATCTTTGAGCAAACTGAGAACATGCGCGCACGCGCATGCTCAGCCAGCCGCAGCAGAGGAATCTTTGAGCGAACTGAGAACATGCGCGCACGCGCATGTTCAGCCAGCCGCAGCAGAGGAATCTTTGAGCGAACTGAGAACATGCGCGCACGCGCATGTTCAGCCAGCCGCAGCAGAGGAATCTTTGAGCGAACTGAGAACATGCGCGCACGCGCATGTTCAGCCAGCCGCAGCAGAGGAATCTTTGAGCGAACTGAGAACATGCGCGCACGCGCATGTTCAGCCAGCCGCAGCAGAGGAATCTTTGAGCGAACTGAGAACATGCGCGCACGCGCATGTTCAGCCAGCCGCAGCAGAGGAATCTTTGAGCGAACTGAGAACATGCGCGCACGCGCATGTTCAGCCAGCCGCAGCAGGGGAATCTTTGAGCGAGCTGAGAATATGAGCGCACGCTCATATTCAGCCAGACGCTGAAGCAAGGAATCTTTGAGCGTTTGAGGAAAGTGCGTGCCGCCACCAGAATCTTATTGCTTACTTGCTTTGCTGGGAGCTTACGAGGAAGCCGGTAGACGTTGTGCTGCCATGATAGCGGTCGCATCTGGCCTGATGTAGGTGGAGAAGCCGAAGAGGACCAGCGCCCCAGCTGTTGCAGAGGAATAGTGGGGGAGCCCCAGCGAGGTCGCGCGCGTGGCAGCGCCTATCCTGAAGGAGTGGGCTGTATAGAGCTGGGGAGACAAATTGCAGAGGAGCAGTAGGGATCTTAGCTGAGCTCTGAACCAGGTTGCTGTCATGGGAAGAATGTCTGGAGTGAGAAATAGAGGTTCGTTAAGATCTCCTTTTTGCAGCGGAGGAGAGTGTAACGCATCATGGACCTGTAGGGGCAGAGAGATGTGTCGGAGCGAGCTGTTACTATATTGCAGGCGCCTTTGATTTTTGAATGTTTGAGACGGAGGTTGAAATGGTCAGGGGACATTATGTTGGGTGAAAAAGAGCGACCTTTGTTTAATGCTTCCACTACGTCGAGATTATCGCGCATGACAGAGATCCTCTTTCTCTGCCACGTGTGATTCCACAGCGCGCAGGCCACGACCGCTGGGAATATCTCGTGTAGGGCAGAGGAGATGCTCCGGTGGAAAGTAGCGGCCACGCTCGGCAAACAAATGGTCCTGGAAGAATCCCCCAAAACCCACGGAAGGGGCAGCGTCCGTGTAGAAGCGGAGACCTGTAGGGGCAGAGACATATCGGAGAGGGCCATTGATGTTGCAGGCGCCCTTACGCTTAGAATCTTGGGTTGGAGATTAGATAATCAGGATAGTAGGATGGTCGGGAAAGCCGTGTCTCGGACCGCATGAAGGTTGAGCGAGCAGTAGTGAACTCGCTTATGCAGAGAAGCCACAGAAGGAGAGCAGGAAGATGCTGCGAGGAGGGCAGACATGTACTTGGAAGATGAGCCGGAGTTCAGCGCCGCTGCAGGATGGGCAGCATGATGGGGAGCCTGCGATCAGAAGAGTGAAGAATACAGGTATGGATGCCTTTGATTAGGAGTCCGATTGACAGCTCAGCGCAGCTACTCGGCCAGCTGCATCTGATAGAATCAGAAGATTAAGTAGAGATGAAGCACGACCGCCGAAGCAACCCTGGGAGCATAGGTGCGAGTCCAGCGCAGCGCGGCATACTCAGCCGGGCTGCATCCATTAGAAGCGGGATAAGCTTCTGAGAGAGTGGGTTGCAGCAGTAGCAGTAGCAGCAGCGGCAGCAGCAGTAACCTCAGATAATAACAGCAATAGTCCTGTATCAAGCCGCGGCAGCAGCAGTAGCAGCAGCAGCAGCAGCAGCAGCAGCGTCCTTAGAAAATAACAGTAATAATTCTGTATCTAAGCCACAGCAGTAGAATGTTGTTGTAGCTGTTCAGTGTTTCAGTAAAAGAGATGCAAGTGAAGAGAGATGGCAAAGTAAATGAAGCAGCAGCAGTAGTAGCAGCAGTAGCCGTATGAAGCAGCAGCAGTAGCAGTAGCAGTATGAAGCAGCAGCAGTAGCAGTATGAAGCAGCAGCAGCAGCAGCAGCAGCAGCAGATGCAGCATCCGTAGATAATAACAGCAATAATCCTGTATCAAAGCCACCGCAGTAGAATATTGTTGTAGCTGTTTAGTGTTTCAGTAAAAGAGATGCGAAGTGAAGAGAGATGTCAAAGTACATGAAGCAGCAGCAGCACGGCAGCAGATGCAGTATGAAGCAGCAGCGGCAGCAGTAGCAGCAGTAACGGTAGCAGTATGAAGCAGCAGAAGCAGCATTAGCAGGAGCAGCAGTAGCAGCATGAAGCAGCAGCAGCAGCAGCAGTAGCAGTAGGAAGCAGCAGCAGCAGCAGCGGTTGCAGCATCCGTAGATAATAACAGCAATAATCCTGTATCAAAGCCACAGCAGTAGAATATTGTTGAAGCTGTTTAGTGTTTCAGTAAAAGAGATGCGAAGTGAAGAGAGGTGTCAAAGTAAAGAAGCAGCAGCAGCACGGCAGCAGATGCAGTATGAAGCAGCAGCGGCAGCAATAGCAGCATTAGCGGCAGCAGTAGCAGCAGTAGCGGTAGCAGTATGAAGCAGCAGAAGCAGCATTAGCAGGAGCAGTAGCACCACAATGCGATTCATACGAACAGCAGACGTGTCACGCCAGCGTGCGCCGCTTGTCTCCGTGAGCCAGGTTACATACGTGTCTGAAAGAGCCGAGCCGTAGAGACAGGTGCCGCCCGGGAGCCCGCGGAGCGGCAGCGGCAGGAACAGCAGCAGCGGCACATGTAGTAGCAGGAACAGGCGGCAGCAGGAACAGCAGCAGCGGCACATGTAGTAGTAGGAGCAGCAGGAGCAGGCAGCAGGGACAGGCAGCAGCAGGAGCGCAGCAGGAACAGGCAGCAGCGGGAACAGGCAGCAGCTGGAGCGGCAGCAGGAACAGGCAGCAGCGGGAACAGGCAGCAGCGGGATCAGGCATCAGTAGGAACGGCAGCAGGGACGGCAGCAGGGACCGCAGCAGCGGCGGTCAGAGAACCATGCCCATGGTTGTTTAAGAGCCTGAGGAAATAAATCAACCCGAATCCGAAACATTCCCATGCGAAAAACAGATGTCCCCTGGAGCCATCTTGCTGCTTTGGTTATGGCAGATACGCATGAACGATCACTGTTCCAGGCGTTCATTAGCTCCAACTCCACTTCAAACCCATTGCAGATCACATTGGGCCCTTTTTCTTTCTGCTGCACTTTCAAAATGCAACAACTGCAGTTTAGTTACCCAATTTAATACTAGTGACCTAGCTATTTAAATGCATGGCCCCTCCTTCCTCCTGCAGATAGACGAATTTAAATACATCCATTTAACAATAGTGACCTGCGAGTAATTAGATTAATGCTGTAAAGATGGCGCCGTGGCAAGAGTTCTGGTGTGTGCCGTCTGGAGCACAATGGGGTAGTCTTTGCACATATTTCCAACGTGGTTTTACTGCAAGTGGCAGAACATGAATCTGAATTATGCACATTGCTCCTCTTATATCCCTCAGACAATAGAGATTGATGCCATTTAATATGCATTGCCCCTCAGTTAGCTCAACACGTGTGAAAACGGAGCCTGCAGACCAAGCACGGGGCGAAAACTGACGCCTGCAGTCAAGTGCGTAGGGCAAAAACCAGCCGCCTGCAGCCTAGACTCCGGGATTAATCCGTCCGCGGTCGGCACACTCACTGTACTCACATGCCAGGAGACTTGGGAAAAGCAACGGGACAACGCGGCACCGCCAATCGGAGGCAGGGACATGCACGGCACCGCCAGACCGTCTGCGCGCGGCAACAGACCACGAGGAACGAGCAGCACAGAACCTGCAGAGGGGCCCCGCGGAGGGGCCCCGCGGATCAGCTCGCAGAGGAGGAGAGCAGTGGAGACACGCGAACCACAGCAGGTGCAGGGACGTGGAAGAGGAGCAGACCACGAGCAGCCAGACTGAGGACAGCCGGGCCACGCGCACGAGCAACACGTGAGCAGAAGCGACCCCTCCAGAACAACGCATGCATTTGCGAACAGGTGCGTTAGCGACATGCACCTTGCAGACTTCAGAAGTTTGCAAACTTCAGAAGGCCGGGAAGTGGGCGTCTCCGGCTTTTAACTTGCTGTCCTGGTGGTTATTGGTGGATTGGATGTGGGCGTTTTGCTGGTGTAATGAGTAGAGGATGAGCAGGCTTGTAGCAGCGGCCGGGTCTACCACAGTGAACTTTCGCGAAGAGCTTCATTACCACACCGGGCCAGAGGGCTGGACCCGGAAAGGGAATTATTCAATTCAAATTTAAGTATCTTCTTACCTCTCAAAAACGTCTTTACAGGCTGGTCCAAATGTTGGATCTTGGCCCAAAGCTCCGTTCCTAATGTGTGTCAATGCTGAGGGGAGTGAATTTTTTTGGACCAGTCTAGTTTACTCGCTGTGAAGTCACTTGTTTAAATGAATGGGGGCTCGTGCCGGCTGATGCATGCGCAGATGCGTTTTTTCACATTTTCCAGCCCCCGCGGAAAATGTGAAACTCCATGAAAGCCCAATTTTTGGCCCATTAGTTAGAACGGCGGAGATAGGCGTGACTACATCCGTTAATATATACAGTCTATGGTTCAATTAAAACTATCGGAAAACTGGAAGTAGGAATCACAAAGGCATAACCATACCAAAGATTAATCTACATGACTAATTATCCTTCTACGACCTTAACTAATACTGATTAATAGCCAGAAAGCAAATATAAAAATTTACAAAAATAAAATAAATCAAAGAACAACTTTTAGATACTAAAATGCACACTGGCGCCGCCTTGTGACGGAAACAAAAAACTGTAGCAACAGTTACACTAGAACTCTCTCGAACGGCATGAAAACTGAACAAAGAATTCTGAACATCAGCGGTGAGTGACCCAAACATAAACGTAAACCTAAATCCATAATTTGATCTTCTGCAAATGTGTCCTAAAATGTCCCGGAATCTACTTCCGGGTTATTCGCGATCGCTTTTTCCTCAACAAATACTTCTGAAAACCTTGGTGCATGTGTGTTAAGAATGTATATGTATAATGTATTCTCCGATTAACATTTTAATGTGTTGATTGATTGGTATACTTGCGTTTATTGAGCGTGGCTAGCTCCGGAGTGGCCGGACTACTTGCGGAGTAATCTACACACATGAATTACAAGCACAAAGTGCGTTGCCATGGGCAGCGGTCATTATTGTTTTGAGAGGTCCTTTATAAGAAATAATGACCGGTAGAACGTTTTGAAATTAAGTCCAAATCAATGGAGCATTCTACTGCTGCTGTGAGGAGCCGAGTAATAAAAAGATACAATCCTATAGTCGTATACACAGCTAAACAGAAATGTTTTAAACCTGGTCTGAAACCTGTGTTACATTTGCATAAAGATTGTTACAGATTTTAGCTGCAGCTGCCGTTGTGTCCTTAGGCCAGACACTTCACCACCCATGAGTCTGGTGTGTGCGTCACTGGTTGTTGGTGGTCGGAGGGGCTGATGCCCCAGGGCAGCTGTAGCTACGGTTGTAGTGTGTGGAGTGAATGAATAATGTGAAGCGTCTTTATCCAAAAAAACGCGATATAAAACCGATGCTTTCAAATCTGAAAAGATTTTTGCTGCATCAAATCTGAAACGCTGATCTAAAACCAACTCCAGGTCTGTTTTTGACGATGGAAAAAGTTTGTAACATAGATTTTGCATATTATGTCTCCTTTAAACCTTATTACCATAGGGCAAGCTAATTGACACTGCATGTCCCCAGTTGCCTCAGCCTCAGGGCAAAGCTGTCAAACGTGAAGCAGCCTTCTCCCACCTCAGACACCCACATTTCTGTCATCCGGGACCAGAGCCGCACTGGTCCAAATGGGACAATCTGTCAGAACCTGGAGGAGGATGTGGCCCGATCTGTGCCTCTGCTCCGATGCACCGGCTGTTGCATGCCTCCCAGCACTTCCACTGCAACACTGCGAGATAAGAGTTCAGCAGGAGACAGCTTCAGACAAATAGGGCACAGTTCATTATACACATTGTTTAAGCTGGAGATTGACTCCCAACGGTTTTTTAAAGTATATATATAGATAAGAGGACCATTATCCATCCCACAGTGGGAGAATATCGATGTAGCACGCATACAGGATAGTTGTAAGAGAACACACATCGGCTTGAGTTTCACTGGAGTTCACCAGATGTTTACATGAGATTCCTAAATAATGCTCAAACAGGAATTAAACTGTGAGGATACTGGGCATTTTTGGGACACAGCAGTGCCTTTTGATTGTGCTGTCATTGTGTTTTTATAAAGTTAACTAATCTCTCTGAGTGGTCAAAGCTATTCCTCAGAGAGAAAGCACATGACACTTTTGGGTCAGTCTCACAGCTGAATGTGACGTTTTTTAGTCACTAAAAAAACGTCACTACAACTCACCACAAAGCCATAGCGCTAGCACACACAGGAAGTAAACAAGCCGTTCTATGTTCGAAGGAAATGACGTCACGCCTCCCGTGCATATAGCCCATAGACACAGAGAGACACATCAGGGCGAGGCGGACAATCAAACAGGAGAACAGGACGAGAAGTAAAACTAAAATAAAGAACTAATAAAACCAAATACCATAATAACTCAAATCCAGACCATGACACTACAGGGTGTAACTGTTCCTTCTTGTTTCTTGTTTTCACCCATCCCAACACAAACTTTGGGTGGGTGAAAACTTCCACTGCTTCCATGTGGAATTCAGATTTCAGCAAATGAGAAAAATATCCATTGGCTGTCGTGAGCTCAGCTTTCTGTAATCTATCCAGTCAACCTATACTGCTGAATATAGTAATTAAACACTGTTTTTTTTTTACCTAAAAAAAAATTAATCATTCTAATTCTAATAACTATGATTAATAACTTCTTTCCTGGGAATTATTTCACATTGTGAATAGTGACTGCCTGCTAACAACCAAACAACAATTACCTATGCCATTTTATAGGCCTATATTGTTTGTAACATAAACATACCAAAAGTCATTCAAATTAACTCATTACACTATCTGCCTCGGGTGATGCTTCAGGGATGAAGAATTGAATGAGGTGGATCTGATTTGCTCTTGACTTAGCGCTGTGGGATTGTTGATCTCCTGCCGCATGCTGTTGTACATCTGACAGACTCTAAGCCCCGATCATTCAAGATGGCGCCCTATTCAAGTTGTTAGTTTGTGCTCAGTAGCGCATTGGACAGCCATGGGGACCGAAAGATTAGTGGAACTCATATTTGGGCATCGTCTGGTCCTCTCATTCTCTGACCAATCAGAGTTGTTGATCAGAGCGGAGCTATAGCAGGAGCCAAACAAGCAGAGTTTGTGGCACTGAAGTGTGGATTTATAGAAAACCGAACGATTTAAATAGAAAGAAAGTTCAGGATGACAATGGACTCTAAAATCCTCACAAAATCCGACATTTATGAAAGCTGTAGGTTCTCTGTCAGCTGAGGTCGAGCTCTTTTAGTTTACATTAAGTTCTATGGAAAAAAATTCTGGCCCACGTGAATTTAGTCAGCTAATACCCCTGTGAGAAACAGAGAACACAGGGCGGCAAAAAGTAGAGTTCACTTGGTACCAATTGCCAGTCACACTCTCTAACCATGCGTGCTGTGCTTTCCACTCTGGTCTGTACTTCTGCAGTCGCTTTCGTTTCTTTCCTGAACCTTTCTGAGTTGAAATGTTCTCTCTCATTCTGACTGTGTCGAACATTTTGTCGGTCGTGCCTCTGCCATCATGAGGCTACGGGCCATGCTGGCGCTGGTCAACATTAAGCCCATGGATGTGATCAAGCCTATGCCCCGCTATGACACTGATTTGCCAAAAGTTAGACGCTTAAACCAATCAAATTAATAAAAACAAGATTCCTGTGTGTGTCGTGTGTGTGATATGCAGTGAGTGATGCATTTAAGGCGACTCTGAAAAAAACGGAATAAAAGCCGTCCTGTATCGATTCAATACAGGACACACATAGTTTTTCTAAAATACGGGACGATTCCGTATTTTAAGGGGTGGTTTTTTTTTTTTATAACAATATTATAGTGATATATTTGTCTTTCACCTAAAACTGAATTGCAAGAGAAAAATCTCAACATTCATTCCATTAAAATGCAGTATGGCACATATTAACCTCAAATCTTGCCTAAAGTTGCCAATTCCAAACACACAGTATAAACGAAGAGAGTGTGCTTATATATCGTGTAATGGCTTCAGTTAAAGCTTTGTGTCGCTTCAAAGCTTTCTCATAAGGAGCTACGGAAACAACACTGTCATTAATGCTCGTTTGCACATTTGACTTTGACCGGAGTAAGCAGTGGAGTTTGAGATTGTAAATACACAACATAAAGTACCTTGTGGTGACAGTGCTGGAGGTGTAGACATAGCAACTATTTTTTGGCATGACTTACAACTAACTTGTTTCTGTAATTGTTCCTGTCTTGTAAATCAAAGTAGTCCCAAATTCTGGAGGTAAAGTGTCTTTTGGGAAAAAGTTCCTCTCTGCATTCGTCGGGATTTGTCTCTTCATCATCCACTTGTTTTGATTCTTCGCATGCTTCACTCTAGCGTGTGGCGGCACTAGGTCGCCGCAGATTTGTGACTATGCGCGCTCAAGAAATGCATACGTAAATATTTCAAAATGATCATGCATCTTTTAGATATGGATATTGCACGTACCAATATCACAACGACAATATTTTTTCAATATATCTGCAGCCCTACTTAGAAGCCTACGGGACAGAATATTTAGACAAAGTAGTTTTGTGAAAAGGGAAACAGAAAAAGTGAAAGTAGCACTAATACACAATTGACATTATCACAGAATCCGGGAGAGTTTATTAGAGCCTCACTCAACTCTGTCCTTGAGCAGGTATCCACTCAGAACAAAACATCCTGAAACGTCTCGTCCACTTTGCTGGCGGAGAATCAAGTGGCGATGGCAGAGACTTGGCAGGTGGTGTTTGATACAAGAGCTCCTCGTCTGTCTGAAGAGGGGCAGAGC